CTTGTGAAACAACCACTTCAATACGTGAAATGCCACAAATACACAATTAGTGATCAGTGAAAAATTGTGCAGAACCTGATAAGTGCCACCACTCTGCGTTAAGGATAATATACAATTACCCTCTTTCAGCTTTCACAAGTGTTGTAAAATCCCCATACACCAGATCCTTTAATGGGAGTATGCAGATAGCTTTTCCTCTAATGGGAGTACACAGTGGGATCCCCCGTTCCTCATGCAGCAATGGGCATTGGGATCCCCGTTCCTCACAGGGCAGAGAAGAGCAAACTCAGTGGAATGATGTATATAAAACACAGATTTATTTGCCGCTTACATTTTAAAAATACCGTCCATCCTAAGTTCAGTCTGTCCTATGCTGAGACCATATCCAAAATGGCCACGTTGCTCCTTCCGGTTTTGCGTCTGACGTCACGACTCTAACGCGTTTCGTCACTTCCGACTTTTTCACAAGGGATGTGAGGTTTATGATGATTATAGAAAAGGTTTATGAAATCAGTCAGTCCAGACCCCCTTGGAGTGCATTATCAGTTTCAGGCTGAGAAAAGATCAGTGTACATATTGCAAACTATAGTGGAAGCTACAGGAAATAAAATTAAAAGACCATTTCTAACATAAAGACTTTGCAATCTGGGTGGACATGAGCAGGGATTCGGAAGTATCTGGACAAATTCCTACAGTATGGGATCTGGAGAGTGTCTCCAAGCTACAAATGAACTGTTGCAGCTACTGTGGAAGGCAGGCTATAGCAACCAAGAAAAAGGCTCAGTTATGCCAAGAGACTGTAAAATACCTGGGATTCAGAGTATCAAAAGGCCAGAGACAGTTGAGAAAGGGCAGGAAAGAGGCTGTTTTCTAAATCCCTATACCAAGAACCAGGCGACAAGTGCGCGAGATCTTGGGAGCAGCTGAATTCTGCCGGATCTGGATACCAGACTTTGCCACAAAAACCAAGCCCCTCTATGAATTTACAAAGGGGGGAGAGAAGGAACCGTTCCTATGGAAGGAACAACAAGTCCAAGGATTTCAGGACATTAAGACTTCCTTAATGCAAGCCCTTGCCCTCGGCTTACCGGACTGTAAGTCTGTATGTCAATGAGAAACAGGCTATGAAGTGGGAGTGCTAACACAATACCTGGGGGTTGTGGCATCGCCTGGTGGTGTACCTTTCTAAACAACTGGACACGGTAGCTCAAGGTTTGCCACCTTGCCTGCGGGCTATCTCAGCAACAGCCCTCTTGGTGGCAGAAGCTGACAAGCTCTCACTGGGTCAAGAGATCTATGTCTGAGTTCCACACCACATTCAGGCAGTGATAGATTATAAGGGAAATCACTGGTCCACCAATGCAGGATGGTCAAATACTAGGCCATGCTATGTGAGAATCATCAAATCCATTTAGAGACTGTTAACACCCTGACCCACGCCACCCTGCTCCCCACCTCAAAAGAACCTCTAATACATGACTGCCTCCAGGTAATGGATGAAGTATAAGCAAGTCGACCAGACTTGAGAGACAGCCCCTTGGGAAAGCCAGATGTTGAATATTACACTGATGGCAGCAATTTCATAAAAAATTAATTCTGCTATGCTGGCTATGCAGTGGTTTGCACAGGAGACAGTGATAGAGGAAGCAGCCCTACCACAGTGAACTTCTGCACAAAAAGCAGAACTGATTGCACTGACCCGAGCATTACAGCTAGCTGCATGCCTAAGACTGAATGTTTATGTGGACTTTCCAGACTCTTCATGCTCATGGAGCCCTGTATAAGGAAAGAGGACTTATCACATCAGGGGAAAGAGCATCAAGTATGGGACAGAAATATTAGAACTTTTGGAAGCAGCGTGGGCCCCCTCTGAGGTTGCAGTGATACACTGTAGGGGTCATCAAAAGGGAGACTCCCAGGTGGCCAAAGGCAACAGAAAAGCATATCAAACAGCTAGAGAGACAGCACTCCAGTCGTCCCCAAAAACAGATTATGGCCCCTCTGTTCCCAGTGCCACTGTCTGAATGGGAACAAAGTCTAAACAAAGTCAGAACAAGAATGGAAAGAGACTGAACCTGGAAAGTATAAGGGAGACCGGTGGTGTCAACTGCAGGATGGAAGAATTGTCATTCCAGCTGCTGTAGCAACTGAATTAGTGACAGAATTCCATAAGGGAACACACATGGGCAAAACAGCCATTGAAAAGGCTCTAGAGAGACATTTTTACATTCCCCGTCTACCCACGCTAGCACAAGCAACAGCCAGTAGATGCATGGAATGTGCCAGAAACAACCCAAGACAAGGGCCTGTACCAACTCCTGGAGTACAAGCAGTAGCGGCCTCACCAATGGAAGAATTAATGGTCGACTTCAGCGTTATGCCCCCCTCAGGAGGATATAAATATCTGCTGGTGGCCGTCTGCACCTATTCGGGCTGGGTGGAAGCCTGGCTTACACAAACTGAAGCTACCAGAGAAGTGGTCAAATGCCTACTACAGGACGTTATCCCCAGATCCGGAATTCCCTCCTCCATAGGCTCAGACAATGGTCCCACCTTTGTTCATAAGTGCCTTCAGGAATTAGCGACCGCACTCAAGATCACTTGGAAACTGCATACCGCATACAGGCCTCAGTTCTGGAAAAGTGGAGAGAATGAATCGCACCCTAAAGTTTCAACTGGCAAAACTCTGTCAGGAAACCCAAATGAAGTGGACCTTGAGGCTGCCCATTGCCTTGCTGAGAATCCGGAGTACTCCAACAAAGAGGACAGATTTGTCCCCTATGTAGGCCCCCAACCATCATTAGAGATATCAAGGGAGACTTACACCAGATAGGAAGGGTGGTGAACCATGAACTGTTACAGAAATTGGGGGAGAATATGCAGGCTATAGGGAAGTGGGCTCAAGAGAAACTCCCCATAAGCCTGTCCAACCCCGTCCCCGTGACCTCTTTAGGGCCCAGATGGAGAGGTCCTTACACTGTTCTGCAATCTACTCCCACAGCCAATAAGGTGGCCAAGGCGACCCCCTGGATACACCACTCCAGGGCAAAGCGAGCTGCTGAGCCCACAGATTTCGGGCTGAGTAAAACAGACTCTCAAGACCCCTTAAAGCTAAAGCTGATCAGAGAAATCAGAAGGAAGAACTCCAGCCACATACCTGGAAGCTCCTGAGTCTATGCACGGCAGAAGAAAAGGATACATCTGGTCAGAAGGAAGAACTCCAGCTCTGCTTCAGTCACACCCAGTAGCTAACTGGTCAACGTATAGTGGAAGATGGGAATATACACCGATATGATGCCTGATCATATCGTTTTGATAAAATTTTGTTTTGATAAAATTGCTGGTAGCCATAATAACCCTAACTAGAAGGATAGGGAGGGAGGGCAGATCATGTGACCCATGTATCGAGACTACTAGAGTAGGGTCTGTAACCACTAGAATGTTACTATGGCATTCTCATTATCAATGTGAGGGCACAGTAACTGACACATGTGTACATAATGAAAGAACTTATTCAATGTGCACTGTAGGGAACCAGGTACTTATTCAATGTGCACTATAAGGAACCAGGGACACTGTAGGGAAGAGGTGCACTGTAGGGAACCAGGAACTTATTCAATGTGCACCTATGGACCCACTAAAACTTGGTTGACCATATGAAGCTACAGCTCCACAGGCAAGCTGATAAACTGTACCCTAATAGCTAATCCCAATGCTGTAGTGAGCCTGATTTTTTATGTAAGCTCTGCTATTAACCTAAACTATTCCCCCAGGAAAGGTTGTGGGGGGGGGGGGGAGGGGTTAGAATGGGGAAGGGAGTACCTGGCAAATGATAAGTATATTTGCTCAGGGAAGCTAGGAAGGCTGTAACCCATGTAATGGCCATGTGGAAATATCAACCATTAGCTGTCCAGGACTAGCAGGCTTGCCCTTAGCCCATTATGATTTGGGTAGTCAATGGTCCATTGGTGATGCTTAATCTCATTCAAACTTTCGCTACGATAACAAATGTGGTAGCACCCAGCTAGTGCAGAGTTCCCCTTAAATGTGTAAGGTTTTAGTTTGCAGAGTCTGAGAAGAAAACCGTGAATATCCTGTATATTGCTTTTCACAGCTACAAGTGTACAAATGTCAAGAGGAAAATATATGCTTTGTGACGTAATCGCTAGTATATACGCTTGTAAGAAGGGCAAACAATTCACTTAGCAGATAAGAGCAGATGGACCGCCTGCTGGGTCAAAACAGAGCTGTTTTTAATAAATTAGTTGTTTCCTTTAGAAGTCCGAAGTCCGGAGTTTTATCTGGTTTTGTGGAAATTGCTACTACAGTACAGGCTCTGCGGTACCAGTTCCTAAATACTGGACATCTGAGGGGTGGTGTTCTCTAACAAGAAGTTGAGTCTAGAGTGCTTAGTGTTAACAGTGTAACAAGCTTGGCCACGGATTACAGAGTTAGCTGTGCAAGTGCTGCTTGCTCCACTGTCCCTTAAGACCTGCCCACAGGTGTACTGTAAACTGTGGAGCTTGAGTTCAATGTCAACTGCTGTGCTTTGGTGGTTTAAATTGCACCTCAGTAATCTGTGGGGCTTTTCTGCAAACAAACTGGAGTTATAGTAATGATGCCAACAGATTCCTGCTCTTGCTGACTCCAAAATAAATAAATAAAATAAAGCATCCTAACAAAATATAACCCAATCTAAACAGGCATACTTTGTTATTTAACTATACTGTAAATGTAATATAGGGTAGAGTTTGATCCTATGTAAACCATGCAATAAATTAATCTGCCTTTATTCTTGAAGAATATCTATTAGGACAAGTGACATAGTTCAGGTTTCTTTTTACCCATTTTACCTCCTATTAAAACCTTCTTCACACAGACAAGACAGGTGCACTTCGTACTTTGAAATGTATTTTCATTCTCCAAGTAGAGAAAACATTTAAGAGCTGAAGTGTGAGCTAAAGCCACAAGTTAGTACATGAAAAAGTTTTTAATCTTACATCTTCACTGTCAGTTGAATCTATTTCTTCTGACTTTTGCCCTTCTTCACGAACAGACTTTTGTGGCAAGATGTCATCCAACCAGCTTAGATCGTGTAATGAAAAAATACATTCCATTGCCTTCCGTATACCTACAAGTGCCAGCAGCTGAAAGAAAGCAAAAGATAATGAGTTTAGATAACTGTAAATTATGTCTTGGCAAAAAAGAAAACAGATCTACAATACATGTACATTTCCCCATGGTTTGTCTCTTAAAAACACTGCAAACACAGAAAAAATAGAGATTATTCCTGACATAAATCTAAGATGCTTCTAACTTCCTGTTTGACCTGACAACTTTTTCAATGGTATGTTTATTTATTTTGTCAGTATTTTTTTAGTGATTTAGTTACCAGGGGTACTATGTTCCCCTTACTCATTCATAGAGCTAGATATCTGGGAGCCTTCTTATATTAAAGAGAGCTTCCAGATTCCAATAAGTCCCCCTGAAAAACTCCACTACCATTTGTCTGGTCAAGGATATGGAAATAAGGTCCTTATCCCCATCAACATGAATTAGAGTATATAAGATAAAAAATGTCACATAATAAATAAGTGCATATAAAATATATATACCAAGTGTATCAATTAGTGAAAAAATGTCAAATCAACTGTTTAACCAAGTGATCTCATGCAAGAATCCAAACAAATTATATGTGAACACAAAAATACACTCAAACTGTGATGGTGATGATGATTGAAAAAAAATTAGTGCTAATTGATTACAACCTTCAAAATTAATTATAATAACCTAAGACCCGTGAAAAGAATATATGTCTTTCTGTACAAATCCATTCAGTGTAAATAATACAGTTGTGTCCAAAATTATTCAACCCCCACTGAAATTGAGTGTTTTGGCCAGTTTTGACATTGCTTTTGATCATTCAGTCATCTTGCTTACATTTTACATTAAAGAGGCACTTGTAGGTCAGACAAATATAACATAACAGTTATAATGAAAATAACCACAAATGTCTTTTCTGTGCTCACAGCATTATCAGTTTTATTCAACCCCCAAGTGACATTCAATCTTAGTACTTAGTACAGCATCCTTTTACAGTTATAACAGCTTTTAAAAACGTGAAGCATAGCTTGACACAAGTGTCTTGCAGCGATCTACGGGTATCTTCGCCATTCTTCATGGGCAAAGGCCTCCAGTTCAGTCACATTCTTAGGCTTGCGCACTGCAACTGCTTTTCTTTAAGTCCCACCAGAGGTTCTCAATCGGATTTAAGTCTGGTGACTGCGATGGCCACTCCAAAATGTTCCAGCCTTTCCTCTGCACCATGCTCTAGTGGACTTGGAGGTATGCTTGGGATCATTGTCCTGTTGAAAGGTCCAAGTCTCCCAAGCCTCAGGTGTGTGACGGACTGCATCACGTTTCCATCCAATATCTCCTGGTACTGAAGAGAATTCATGGTACCTTGCACACGCTGAAGCTTCCCTGTACCTGCAGAAGCAAAAACAGCCCCAAAGCATGATTGACCCTCCACCATGCTTCACAGTAGGCAAGGTGTTCTTTTCATCATAGGCCTTGTTCTTCCTCCTCCAAACATAGCGTTGAATCCATGGGCCCAAACAGTTTCTAATTTTGTTTCATCAGTCCACAGAACACTATCCCACAACTTTTGTGGTTTGTCCACATGGCTTTTGGCATACTCAGTCGACTCTTCTTATTCTTTGGAGACAGCAAGGGGGTACGCCTGGGAGTTCTGGCACGGAGGCCTTCATTACGCAGTGTGCGTCTTATTGTCTGGGCTGAAACTTCTGTACCCACATCTGACAAATCTTTTCTCAGTTCCTCAGCAGTCACACGGGGACTTCTCTCCACTCTACGCTTCAGGTAGCGCACAGCAGTCGAAGTCAGCATCTTCTTTCTGCCACGACCAGGTAGCGTTTCAACAGTGCCCTTTGCCTTGAATTTGCGAATGATGCTTCCTAAGGTGTCTCTTGGTATGTTTAACATCTTTGCAATCTTCTTATAGCCATTGCCCTTCCTGTGAAGAGAAATCACCTCTTCTCTTGTCTTCCTGGACCATTCTCTTGCCTTCACCATGTTTGTAACCACACCAGTAAATGTCTAGAAGGAGCTGAGTATCACAGTCATTTTAAAGCTGCCTAATTGGTGCTTATTAGCTTGATTGCTGCTCGGTGACATCCACAGGTGTTTTCAATACCTGATGGAAAGCACCTGTATGAACCTCTGTTCTTCAGAGTGGTAGTCTTTAAGGGGTTGAATAATTGTGGCAATGAAGAAACCACATAAGAACCATTTACTACTGTATTACATAAACAATTGAGTCATTTTAGTTGCATTTGGGTAGTTACAACGTCCTTGTAGGATTTGATTCTGAATACAATTCCAAATGTACACTATAGTCCCTAAACCCCTCCTTTTACAGCATTGGGGGTTGAATAATTTTGGACACAACTGTATATATATAAAATCACACGTGCATATAGTGTAGTGAAACCACAATATAAAGACAACTTAATCAGTGCTCTTAAAGTCCAGTATATGCTGATGGTAACATTTAGATGACACACACTCGTGCTGGTATTTGTGTGCAAGTGGATATGACAATCCGACCACCGTCTGGATAAGCCTCTCACCTTATGACTTCGACCCTTGAGGGTCAAAGCGCTTTAATGAATCCTTCTCACGGATCCTCCAAGCCTGCTATCACTCCAAATGGTCGCTCCTTGTCGAACTCAAGGGTCAGCACTTCACTAATGGCTCCTCTCCAGGTAAGATCAAGTGCAGCACCAATCTCTCATATGAGACGTAAAATAGATCCACCCATATGTGTAGTAAGTTTATTTGTAAAGTAGGGACAATAACAAAGATAATCAACTCACATAGCAGCAGTATCCAGTTCAAACCCCATGCTTTCGGATGAGGGAACGAATGTATGGGTGTACAACAGGGTGTACAGGTGTACCAAGATGGGCCGCTATGCTGGAAGTGCGTCACTACGTCAGGCCAACGCGTTGTGTCACAATACCATGTGACTTCCTCAGGGCTGGCGTTCATAGTGACGACCTTCCCTCATATACCCGGCACAATTAAAGGAAACTCCCTGAAGGCGGATCACCACCTCATCGCCAGTCCGCCCATGTCTCCCGCGGCCATGACTGAATAGACCATGCTGTTCTATCCCAATATTAACTCAATCAATAACCGGGGACAGATAATACAGCTTCAGCCATATAACTACCCTACACTGTGCTTGCAACAATATAAATAAACATTAATAATATTAAATATATACCTATATATCAACTGCTAAATACAATGAATTGATAATTTATAATTTATAAACATAATTGTAATCCATGGAACCCCATAGGCGAAAAAACAGTACATATCCATAAAATCTATAATTATAAAACTTATTTATTTCAATCTGAATAAAACCATATATTTTAATTAAATAAAAATAATTCAAAAATAATATATATAAATAAATATGAAAACTAAAAATAAAAACTAAAAATAATAATAAATAAATATAAAGATGTATAATATTAAAAATTAATTAAAATGACGGGAACCTATTCCACTCCACCCCTTATCCAGCAATTTTAATTGTAGGTTAATCTCAAGGGTAAAAAAAAACTAAATATACATAGATACCCCTATCCAAAAGCATGAGTTTACAAAAAATATATAACAATATAAAATATAAAATGTAATCAGTAAATATTAATGATAAAAAATCAATCATAAAACACCTGACGTGTAACCAGATATCCTAATCACACCAATTCCACACACCCCTACTGGACCAAAAGACCTCTCTGGGTCAGGCTTCGGGAGCATGTACAAAACATTAAAAAAGGGTTCCCGAAACACAGCGTGTCAAAGCATTTTGCCAAATATCACAATAAAGACCCCAGTGACTTGAAATTTTTGAAATTTTGGGGCATTACTAAATACAAGGAGCATTGGAGGGGTAGTCATAAGGTGCGCTCCTTAAGTAAATTAGAATCGAAATGGATTTACAATATGCAAACATATTTCCCTAAAGGATTGAATGTTGAATTTGATCTAAATTGTTTCATTTCAGATTTGCACCTTATGACTACCCCTCCAATGCTCCTTGTATTTAGTAATGCCCCAAAATTTCAAAAATTTCAAGTCACTGGGGTCTTTATTGTGATATTTGGCAAAATGCTTTGACACGCTGTGTTTCGGGAACCCTTTTTTAATGTTTTGTACATGCTCCCGAAGCCTGACCCAGAGAGGTCTTTTGGTTCTTCCTATATATTGCAAACCGCAACTGCATTGCAGTGCGTACACAGCCCCCTCTGTCCTACATGAGATGAATTCATCAATTTTTTAAATTCCTTCTCACTCACAAATGAGGTAAAACAATGCCTTTTTTGATTCTTTCCTTTTGTCGATTTACAAGCATACCATGCCTTACACGGAAAGAACCCATTTGAATCTAAAAATGTAACTTTATTATTTTTAATAGGCGGGTCAAGAACACTTTTAACAATGTTATCCCTTAATGATGGTGCTTTTTTCTTTTTTTTTTTTTTTAATTTAAAGATTTATTAATTTTTCAATTTAAATACATATCAACTTCTCATTATATATATAAAAATACAATACAATATCCAACATTCTAATTTAATTTCTCTTTCTAAAATTATTTCTCAATCCCTCCCACCCCCCCCCCCCAATTCCCCTCCCCTTCCCTATCTTTTCTCTGCCGCTTCTTAAAAATAGCAAGTAGATTATAGTTCTCTTTATTCATTCCTATACATCATGTATAATCTGGCTTTTTCCCTTTTTCCCATTTCCCATAGTAAGCCTCCATCTTATTTTTTTGAATATGGAAGAGTTTTTCCATCTTTCTTATCTGCTCCACTCTTTCTATCCAGTCCTCCTCTCTCGGCGTCTCCACTTTCCGCCAAAACTTGGGTATAATGCCCTTTGCAGCGTTTAGGTAGTACCATAACCCTGATTTTTTATATTTATTCACTGTTATATTGGTATTATGCAAGATACATACTTCTGGGTCCAATCCTATATCTATTTCGATTATCTTTCCTATCAAGTGGGTAATTGACTTCCAGAAAACCTGGATTTTTGGGCA